CTTGAACCCGGGAGGCAGAGGTTGCAGTGAGCCGAGATCATGCCACTGCACTCCAGCCTGGGCAACAGAGTGAGATTCTGTTTCAAAAAAAATTTTTTTAAGTATATAAACATAAATTCACACATGCACACACACACACAGAGCTGTAAATTTTTAAAAGGTGTATAGTAAAAACAGAAGGCTTTGAAGTCAAATAGCAGAATTCAAATCCCAGTACCACAGCCTTAACTTTTCTGGTTAAAAAACTTGCCTTATGTCATCTAGGGCCTTCGTACCCTCATCTGTAGAGTAGAGATATATCACTTACCTGGCCAGATAACTGTGAGGATTAGATAAAATAAATGTAAAAGTCTAGCTTCTATTGTGGGAGTCAATAAATGATCATTATTACCACTGCTGCAGTTAAGAGCTTGAGCAAGATTCTGAAACTGTAAGTCTCCACTCTCCCAAATAATGCTTGGGGATAATAGACCAGTGGTTGAAAACTATTCTATTAATGAATTTTGGAAAGCAGAAATAATCATGGGCAGGGAAGAAGTCAAACACCTTGACCTATCTTCCCATAAGGCAATCTTGTAAGGCTCTTTATGGTACTATGGACAGAAAGGGTTGTTGCAACGACCAGTTATAATGGTAGTTATCATCTAGGCAGCCAGTTTCCGAGAACTACCGAATAATTTTCTAGCTATACTGAAATAATAAGGGATTTTTTTCCTATTTAAATACAGAATAATATATTTCTTATTCCTTTTCAGTTATTAACAAAGGAAATTAAATGATCCTTTTCATTTTTTGACATGAGAGTCATGTACATGAGGTTACTGAATGTTTTGAAGTGACTTGAAACACCAATACGTTAAGAAAAGCATATAACTTCCTCTTGGTCAGGGATAGAGACTTAACTGGAGTATCTGCCAGGACCTAAACCAGGGGCCCAAACAGGGCACAACCAAACTTGTTTTCTTCCTCTAAGAGACTGACGTGCATTTTCACCAAGGGTGGGAAACATGACCAGGGATTCCACCAATGACTCAGCCTAAAATTTACTGTGATCATAGGTTCTAATGTTTGACAATTTGCTGGAACTGGGGACATGACCTAGGACCCAACTTGCTACTCGCTAGGCCAGGGGCTCTACCTCCATATACACTGGGGCTAGGGCTAAGAAAATGGCTCACATGGTCAGATTAAGTAAAAAAAAAGGTGCCGAACAAAAAAAGAAAAGAACAAAAAAAGAAAAGGTGAAGGGAAAAACAAGGTTTGGGGGGGTTTTTTTAACTGCTAGTAAAGAAATTTATAAATTTAGACAGAAAAAAAGATAAACTGTGTGATGTTGGCTTGGATTTGAAGGTATCTATCAACAGACAGACAAATGGAAAGGGTGAAGGCAGAAGAGGAATTACTTTTAGAACATTCTCATCAAAGTATAAATCTAATCATAAGGAAACATCAGACAAACTCTGAGCAATGGACCTGTACTATTCAAATATATGAAGGTCATGATAAATAAAGAACTGTTCCAGACTGAAGGAGACTAAACAGACTACACACCTAAATGCAATGACAAAATGTTAACTTCCTGATTTTGATGATTATACTCTGGCTAAACAGAAGTGTATCCTTGTTTTTAGGAAATATACACTGAAGTATAAGGAGCATCACGTGTGCAACTTCATCTCAAAATAGTTCAGAGAAAATGATGTGTGTATCTGTGTATGAGTGTGTGTGTGGAGAGAGGGAATGATTAGGTAAATATGGTAAAATGTTAACTGTAGTATTCTTGTAACTTCACTATCATTTTGAAATCAAATCCAAAAAACTGGAAATATTTAAACTAAGGTCAAAGGCAAGATTCCAACTTCAAGCACATGTTATGTAATATTTTTACACTCAGGGTCTATGTTTCTTAGCCTAATTAAAATAATTTATAAGAATTAAACCTAAAGAGAATAAATCTGTCCAAAACCCATCTAAGTTTTAATATTTCAGCATCCACTTAAATTTGTTCATAGCACATTAAAAGAAAAAGTGTTATTTTCCAACTAGTCTCAGGTTCATTCCTCAAGAAAGCAATTTCAATTCTTCAAAGATACTATGTGAGTCTTACATGTCAACTCATTACATTTAGTCAGCAACATCAGATAAAACCCAAGAGCTTCTTCATTTAACGTAACTCACCATATGCAGGTGGAGGGATTTGGTAGGGTCTAGCGTGCTAGAATCAATTAACATTAACAATTTCCTCCGAATATCAGCTGCCCTAAAGGACACAGTATTGGTCTGAGCAGTAGTTACACACAAACACAAGAACTTGAGCATGTCTAAGAAGAGTAGATCTTGCTTTGACAGATATTCTTCAGCTAAAGGATTAATGGCACCTAAAAATAAAAAGCACTCATTAACACAAAGAGAGGGGCACAACAGCCACATATATTCATATTAACTCAAATTCCCTCCTCTTCACAAAAAAAAGTACATGAAAAGCAAAATTATAGTGAAATTAATTATACACTAAAAGCGTCAAAAGTCTTTTTGAAAAATTATCCAGCATTCTTTTGTCAAGAAATAATTTAAAATATGGGGGAAAAAACCCTTTAGACAAACGATCATTGCAATAATGTTTATTATAGGAAAACAGAAAAAAATTTAAATTTCTAACAATAAAAAATGTCAAGTAAATTATGGGACTTATATAAGATTGAAAAATGGTGAAGCCATTAAAAAGTATGACTATCAAGAAAAGCAACTACATGGAAAAATACTTATAATTAAACAGGCATTCATAACATATGTGAATGTTGATGTTGATTACAATTTTGAAAGTTTCTACAGAGAAATAATAGAAAAAGGTTAACAGCAATGGCATTACGGATGTGTTTTCATTTCCTGCTATTGCCCAAATAACCTATCATATGGTTTTATTTATTTTTTTTTTTGACACGGAGTCTCGCTCTGTCGCCCAGGCTGGAATGCAGTTGCGTAATCTCGGCTCACTGCAACCTCCACCTTTCCAGGTTCATGCCATTCTCCTTCCTCAGCATCCCGAGTAGCTGGGACTACAGGCACCCACCACCAGGCCCGGCTAATTTTTGTGTTTTTAGTAGAGACGAGGTTTCACCATGTTAGCTAGGGTGGTCTTGATCTCCTGACCTCCTGATCCGCCTGCCTCAGCCTCCCAAAGTGCTGAGATTACAAGCGTGAGCCCCCATGCCTGGCCTGGTTTTATTTCTTTAACAGTTATCTTAAGTTCCTCTTATGAAGAATAAAATATGAAACTAATAAAATATGAAACTAATAAATTCAAGTAAAAATCAGAAAAATATAAAGTATATAGGAAAGGAACAATTCTAAAAGGCTATACTAAGGGAAAATAAAATAAGCATAAAATTGATATCAATGAGGCCTCTTATACTGCCAAATCAATATAAACAGGTAAAAGAAATACCAAGTAGTAAACAGGTATTTACCTATGGTACTTTGGCTCTCTCCAGGTTCATTTGCATCACTAACACTACTATCAGGGTAATCGTTAAATAGATTCATGGATGACTGATCCTCCACCTCCATTAGATTTCCATTAGTATCCTCTTCCATTGATTCTACTTCTCCACGGTCAAATGGCTTTTTGATTAAGGATGCCTTCAAGGAAGAGAAACAAAGATGTTCAAGATGGCTTCTTGCAGGAGCATGTTGTAGTTAAAATTTACCTAATCAGGCCAGGCACAGAGGCTCACGTCTGTAATCCCAACAATTTGGGAGGCCAAGGCAGGCGGATCACCCGAGGTCAGGAGTTCGAAATCAGCCTGGCCAACATGGTGAAACCTTGTCTCTATTCAAAATACAAAAATTAGCTGAGTGTGGTGGTGGACACCTGTAATCCCAGCTACTCAGTAAGCTGAGGCAGGAGAATCACTTGAACTCAGGAGGCAGAGGTTGCAGTGAGCCGAGATCATGCCACTGCACTCTAGCCTGGGTTTGACAAAGCAAGACTCTGTCTCCAAAAAAAAAAAAAAAAAAAAAAAAAAAAATTACCTCATCAAACAATTCAAGGTTCAGTGTAAATTCGAACACTACAGTACTTTTTCTACTAAATCTAAATGTCCAATAATAGTAAAATGGATATATAACCTATAATATGTCTACATAACAAAATAATATGCAAACTTTAAAAATTATTTCTTATACTAAGAAGTTCTATAACACCCAAAGTGTTACCCAAAGAGGGGGTAGGAAAATGTCTAAATTGGTATGACTATTTTGGAGGACAATGACAATATCCATCAAAAAGTAAAATTTACATTCCTTTTGAACAAGCAAGTCTACTGCTAGAAATTATCCTACCTCCATCATATACACAAATACAAACAGACAAAATAAAAGTACAATAATCTGTACCACGGAAGTCGTTGTAACCCAAAAAACTAGAAACCACTTAAAATGTTAATTAAGAGCAGACGGTCTTTTTGGCCCAGTGCAGTGGCTCACACCGGTAATCCAAGCACTTTGGGAGGCCAAGGTGGGCGGATCATTTGAGGTCAGGAGTTCTAGACCAGACTGGCCAATATGGTGAAATCTGGTCTGTACTAAAAATATAAAAATTAGCCGGTTGTGGTGGCACACATCTGTATCCTAGCTTCTCAGAAGGCTGAGGCAGGAGACTCTCTTGAAGCTGGGAGGCGGAGGCTGCAGTGAGCCGAGACTGTGCCACTGAACTCCAGCCCGGGCAACAGAGCAAGACTTCATCTCAAAAAAACAAAAATAAAAAAAATAAAAAATAAAAAATAAAAAATAAAAAAAAGGAGCAGATAAGCTTTCATATACATATATACTATTCACTATTCCCACACAATAGAATACCATGCACTGCTAAATAAATAAAGTGTAACAGCAGATAGCTTATAAGTACAGTGACGTGGAAAATGATTAAGATGTGTCATAAAATGGAAATATTCAAGTTATAGAATATGTTTTCACTCAATAGCTATTTCAATGTCTACTTTGTATGCCCGGCAGTGTTCCAGAAAAAAGAATGTATGTGGCATAAGCCCAAAGCCCATCTGTATGGAAGAAAAATAAATACTACAATATGTTGCTTGCCTGGCAAGATTTTTGGTCACTTTTAAAGAACAAAGAATTATTTTAAATTTTGGTACAATGTTGCATAGAAACAGGTGTGAGCCTGGATGATTCCTTCCCAATTTTTTAGTGTATTATTTATTGAGAAACTAAAGGCAGGCACTCACTATGCTAGGTATTGATATTAAGAAGCAATCAGGTGTATTTCCCCAGAAGACAAGTAACTTTAATTTCCACATTTTATTTTATTTTTAAAATTTTTTTATTTTTGAGACAGAGTCTCACTCTGTCGCCTAGGCTAGAGTGCAGTGGCATGATCTCAGCTCACTGCAATCTCTGCCTCCCAGGTTTAAGTGATTCTCCTGCCTCAGCCGCCTGAGTAGCTGGGACTACAGGCACATGTCAGCATGCCCAGCTAATTTTTTAGTATTTTTAGTAGAGACAGGGTTTCAACATGTTAGCCAGGATGGTCTCATTCTCCTGACCTTGTGATATACCCACCTCGGCCTCCCAACGTGCTAGGATTACAGGCGTGAGCCACCGCGTCCGGCCTTAATTTCCACATTTATAAAAATGTAAGATGCTATATGTTGTGAGATGCATCCTTATTTACAAAGATATTTCAACAAAAAAAAATTATGCCTATTAGAATCAAAATATGGTAAGAAAAAAAGGAAGCATACTTACGAAACTTTTACAAATATCTGCAATGTCATTCATTAGCTTTGATGTTAACAATCGCAGGAAAAAGCCAGATGCAATCTTATTTAGACTCTTCTGCAATTAAGACAAACAAAGAACCAAGCAACAAAGAAATAAAAACAATTATTCTTGGCAGATAGTGTTTTCTCTATCTTGAATGAAATGTAGATAAATAGTTTACTATCAGGGCCAAGATATACACTGCTTCAAAAATACATCTTTTCTTAGAGTAATAATAACTGTACTGTGCATCTTTCATTGTGCTTTAACAACATTAAAGTAACAGCTATTGACCCTAAACATAAGTAAGCTATAATTATAGGTTAGAGTTTAT